CTCTCTCTGCCCCTCCCCTGCTCATGCTCTGTCTCTCTCTCTCTGTCTCAAAAATAAATAAAAACATTTAAAAAAAAATAAAGAGGGAGAGAAGCAGGTGTGTGAAAGAGATGGACAAAGGCAGAACAGCTCCATCTGGAGTGGGAGATTCAGCAGGTGGCAGGAACTGGGGTGGGGGTGGGGTGCAAGACATTCCTCCAGGACAAGAAAACCGGGTAAATGGCCTGCAGCCTTGGGAGATTTCAGCACAGTGCAGGGAGGAGGCTGCTGGTCTGAGCTGTCCTGGTATCTCCCTCTAGGGGAGTTATCAGTTACCCCAGAAAGAAGCCTTGGGAAGATTCAGAAAAAAGAGCCCAGGCTGGGGGGGGGCTGGGGCTGACCTTCAGGTTCTGGTGGGACCCAAACTTGAGACCACCTCTTTTTCTTCAATTTTTTTTTTTTAATTTTTTTTTTCAACGTTTATTTTATTTTTGGGACAGGGAGAGACAGAGCATGAACGGGAGGGGCAGAGAGAGGGGAGACACAGAATCGGAGGCTCCAGGCTCGAACCATCAGCCCAGAGCCTGACGCCAGGCACCGAACTCAATGGACTGCAGATCGTGACCTGGCTGAAGTCGGACGCTTAACCGACCAGCCACCAGGCATGCTCCTCAATTTTTTTTTAATCATTTTTTAATGTTTATTTATTTTCAGAAAAGAGACACAAAAAAAAACTCAAGCAGGGGGGGGGGGGAAGGTAGAGAGGGGGGGGGAGACACAGAATCCAAAGTCAGGTCTGAAGTCAAAGCACAGAGTCTGACAACTCACAAACTGCAGAGATCGCGAACCTGAGCCGGAACTTCTTTCATCGACTTCTGAGCTCCACCCAGGTGTCCCCACCCCTTTTCCCCTTAATTTCACCCCCCCCCCATTCTTAGACTACGGCCCCTCAAAGTGTGTTCCCCCCCCAAACCGCCACAGCAGCATCGCCAAATAACCATCAGAAGTGATCCTCAGATCCTCCACCGATCCATCGTCAATCGAAATTCTGGGTGAATCTGCTAAACAAGCCCTCTCTCAGAGGTCAGGTGGGCAAACGCAAACCACTGCCAGAGAAATGATCTTTACATTTGTAAATCCCTTGGGGGGAAAAAATCAAAAGACGGCATCTTCACAGTAAATGATACGGTTCCCTTCAAACCAGAGTCCAAGGAACATTAAAAAAACAGCTATGCCCACAGAGCTGAGAACTGCAACAGAGGCAAGGATCGGCAGCCTGAAAATTTTACCGTCTGGCCTTTAGAGGCAAGTTTCCAACCCTGCTGTAGGACATTCTAACACACGGAAGCCTGAAAAGGAGCTGCTCTGGCCAATACCAGGCTTGGAAGCTGTGCACACTGAACACTTGACTGTGGCTGGTCTCTCAACTGAGGTGGCTACCTCATGTTCAGCAACAGAGGCATTCGGGGCTCGAACTCACAAACTGCGAGATCGTGACCTGAGCCGAATCGGACGCTTCACTGACTGAGCCACCCAGGTGTCCCCACCTCTTTTTCTTAATTTCAATCTATTCTAGACTAGCGGTTCTCAAAGTGTGTTCCCCAAACCGCCACAGCAGCATCGCCAACAACCATCAGAAGTGCAACTTCTCAGGCCCCACCCCGGACGTGCCGAATCGGAAATTCTGGGGGTGGGGCCCAGGAATCTGGGTTAAACAAGCCCTGTAGGTCAGGGGTGGGCAAACGCTAGCCCACTGCCAGAGAAAATGATCTTTACATTTGTAAAGAGTTGGGGGGGAAAAAAATCAAAAGATTTGGTGACACAGTAAAATGATACGAAGTTCAAACCTCAGAGTCCATAAGGAACATTTTATTGGAACACAGCTATGCCCACAGAGCTGAGTAGTTGCAACAGAGGCGGCATGATCGGCAGAGCCTGAAATTTTACCGTCTGGCCTTTTAGAGGCAAGTTTCCCAACCCCTGCTGTAGGACATTCTAACACACACGGAAGCCTGAAAAGCTGCTCTGGCCAATACCGTAGGCTTGAGCTGTGCACACACTGAACACTTGGACTGTGGCTGGTCCCAACTGAGGTGGGCTTGAATGCAACAGAGGCATTGGAATTTATAAGCCTCAGTAAGAAAAACAGAACGTAGGGGCACTTGGGTGGTGCAGTCGCTTAAGCGACTCTTGACCTCGGCTCAGGTCGTGATCTCTCGGTTCCTGAGTTCGAGCCCCGTGTCGGGCTCTGTGCTGGTGGTGCGGACCCTGCTTGGGATTCTGTCTCTCCTCCTCTCTGCTTCTCGCCCACTTGTTCTCTCTCTCTTTCCCTCTCTCAAATAAATAAAACTTAAAAAAGAATTTAAAAAAAAGAAAAACAATATAAAATACTCATTTTCATATTGACTATCTATGGAAATGGTAATATATATATATATTTTTTTAAGTTTATTTATTTATTTTGAGAGAGACAGCCAAGTTGGGGAGGGGCAGAGAAACAGGGAGAGAGAATCCCAAGCAGGCTCCACACTGCCAGTGCAGAACCCGATATGGGGCTCGAACCCATGAAGTCCAGAGATCATGACCTGAGCTGAAACTGAGAGTCAGACACATAACCGACTGAGCCACCCAGGTGCCCAGAAATGGTAATATTTTGAGTGAATGAGGTTTGATAAAATGCTAACTAAAACTGACTTCACCCGTTTCTTTTTACTTTCTTGAATGTGGCTCCTGGCAAATTTGTAACCACCTACACGGCTCACCTTCTGACTGGGCTGGACAGCGCTGGCTGGAGCCCAAGTTGAAGAACCTGAGAGATCCTGCGCCCTGCCTCCTCTGGACCGGGGTCTGCCCTGGCCACGATGGGTGGCCCAGCTCCCCTGCCCCCCAGGGAGCCTCTCTTTCCAGCTTTCTCCCCATCCTGCAATGTGGCCTGGGCTTAAATCCCTGCTCATCACTTTCCTGCCATTGTGCTAGGGACAGGTTAAGAAATGTCACTGTAGCCTCCAGCATCTTGTGAATGGGTCCAACGACAGTCCTTGTCCCCACAGGGCATTTATCTTAAATGGGATAATACTCATAAAGCAGTTAGCTCTTGGCCATGAACATGTACATTCTCAAAAAGGCCTTAGTTCTTCTAAGGTGATGTCCACCAGCATTAGCCAACCAGCATTCCCCGAGGTCTGCCCCATGTTAACCATGGCTGGGAGCCATTTGAGGGGAGCAGTAGAGAGAGTAGAGGCCAGCCCCAGGGTTGGGGGAGGAAGGGAGGAGCTGGTGCATAGGAACCCCTTGGCCTCCAAGCTACCCGCTAATGGCCACGAAGCTCGGACTCTGCCCAGACCTCATACCTCCCTCTCTGGCCTTGCCCCCGACATCCACTAGAGCTGCGACCCAGGGGCCTCAGGGCCTTTGCTTCACTTTTCCTGCTGTGTGAACACTACCCATACTGACCCTTCCTTACCTCCGGGACTTGAGTCCTTCTCAGAGACCCCTGGACCCACCCCCATCTCAAGTAGAACTGGGGCCTCACTGCCCTGTGCACCTTGCCAGCACGCTTACTCCTGGAAACCATCTTACTGTCTGTCTATCCATGCAAGCAGGCTGCTGTCTGCGTGGTCACTTGCCCAGCGCAAAGCACTGCACTGGGGGACACGGTGTCAGCTCTGTAGTGATGAATGAGAGCTGGGGCAGCAGCCGGAGACGAGGTCTGGCTGAGGTGTGGTTTTATCTTGTAGCGGGGGGTCCGAGCACCTTGCGTGCTGTTGGGAAGGGGCCGGGGAAGGGAGACGGGCAGCCCAGGCAGGATGCAGCAAGGAAAGACAGGTTCCTGGGCAGCAGAAGGGCGTGGGCTTTGACAGGGCAGCTACGGAGACAGGAAGGAAGGGGGCAAGTGGGTGTGGACACGGGCAGCTTGCGGTTTGTCAGCAGAAAAGCCGAGAGAGCTCTCAACATCCTGTTGTCTCTGGGACTCTGTCCTGTCCCTGACTCCAACCACCAGAAACCACTAGCCTTGCCCTCAACTCCACCCACGGCCCGCGTGGGTGCACCTGCCCACACACACTCACCGACAGACTCACACATGCACTTGCGAACAGACCTGCGTGCGCACTCACACACACAGACTCACACGAACTCGGACTCGAACATGCAGACTTGCACACACACACTCAAGCACAGACTTACACATATAGACCCGCATGTACACTCACACACATACTCAGACTTGCACAGGTAGACTCGTACATATAGACACACACACACTCACACCTTTACACCCACAAGTACTCACATACACACCCACATGAAGACTCACACTCACAAACACACTCCTGAAGTCCCCGGCTCTTAATTCAATTATCTGAGGTGCCCTGACAGGTCCCCACAGACTCACCGCTAAAACCAACATTTCCACATCCAACCTGAGTCCTTCTAGAACTACACCAGGGGTTGACAACATAAAGCCCGTGGGCAGGGGTGCCTGGATGGCTCAGTCGGTTAAGCGTCCGACTTCGGCTCAGGTCATGATGTCACGGTTTGTGGACTGGAGTCCTGCGTTGGGCTCTGTACTGACCGCTCAGAGCCTGGCACCTGCTTCGGATTCTGTGTCTCCCTCTCTCTGCCCCTCCCCCGCTCGTGCTCTGTCTCTCTCTGTCTCTCAAAAATGAATAAAATGTCAAAAAATTTTCAAAAAAATGTAGGAATAAAAAATTTGTTTAAAAGCCTGTGAGCCAAATTGAGCCCCGACCTGTGTCTGTAGGCAAAGCTTTCTGGAACACAGCTACTCCCATTCAAGTTCGTGCTACCCACGGTTTCTTTTGTGTCGCGGCTGCAGGGGTAAAGGAGCAGCACGGACCCATAGAGCCTAAAACATTTGCCATCTGGCCCTTTACAGCAAGTCCATCAAGCCCTGTCCTAGGTCCTGGACTCTCAAGGTGGGGGTCTGTGGGGCCAGCAGCATGACATCACTTGGGAGCTGGCTGGAAACTCAGAATGTCAGGCTCTGCCTGAGACCTGCTAAGTCAGAGCCTGCATTTTGGCCAGATCCCCAGCAGCTCTGGGGTAGACCCCAGATGGGCTTAGGCTGGAGGAATCAACCATTCGGGCTGCCCGGGACCGAGCGGATCCCAGGAAGTGAGGCTCAGTTTTCCACCCAGGGATGTCGCTGTTGGTGGGGACGGGATGGGCACATGAGTGGAGCCGGGGACACGCAGTGGGGGAGCGCGGCCCCTCCCTGCTCACCCAGCGTGTTGGCGATGCCCGTCTTCACGTTGTCGGTACAGATGTGACTGATGCGGTTCTCATGCTCCGGCTTGGCCAGCACCACGATTCGGATATTCCAGAGGGTGTGGATGGCAACCTGGAGGGGAGCACAACATGGCGACCCTTGGCCCGGGCATGGTGCTTGACCACCCGGCAAGGGATTCCCACCCAGCCCTCACCCCCGAGGTGCAGGGAACCTGTCTAGGACCCCCAAGCTTCACGAAGCCTCCTAATGATGCCTTGCAGGTGCAACAAAGTTGAAGAACCAGGACTGGTAAGATTTCAGTGAAGCGAGAGTGACCTACAAGCAGGGGCAGGGAAGAAGGGACGTGCTAGTGATTTTCAGCAACGCCCACGGACCCCAATTTCAGAACAGGTGCCCGTCTCTGGCCCTGGAAGGTAATGGTGGTGGTGGAGAATGACCAAGGAACATTCAGGCATCTTTGGAAATTGAGAGAGGAGACAGGCTGAGCCCACCCTTGCCTCTGAGACGCTCCTGGCCAGCCTCGCAAAGCCCACTGCCCCCGAGTCCCACCCAGCGCCCTGGCCAGGTGCTCACTGTTTTAAAAGTCATGCTGGTGATTTCTTGCAGGGAGTGTCTGAGTATCTCCAGCCACTCCTTCTCTCCCAGGGGGTCCTCCTGGGTGCCGATCACGTAGATGTCATGGGGGATGTAATCGGCAGAATCATCCCGAGTCTTTCCCTGCCCCTTGGAGAGAAACCAGGACGTGATCTTCTTGGGAGGGGGGGCGTTACCTTCAACAGCAAAACCCAACACCAAGTGAGTCAAAGGCACATCAGGAGAATTCAAAACACAGGTGGGGGAAGTATGCAGGGCAGGAAGTTCACACAGTCACTGAAAACCATTTGGGTCACCCAACAAAGTACTGTAGATAGAGAATTAGGTACTAATTGTTCCCAGGATGTCAGGTAGGGTCAGAGTGCAGTAACGTTTCTTTGTAAAGATAACATGAACTTTTAAAGATGAGAACTAGTACCTGAAGATGCCATATGGTGCCTTGAACGATTGGCACAAGATGTCAAACACCGTCCTAGTCTTTGGGGCTAACTTAGTGACTGAGACAGTCCTTGAGCAATGTACATTCCCTTGGCAACGACAGCCCAGCAGGCTGGCAGGTTTGGGATGGGGGCTTTTAGCCCAGGGTTGGGAGACAACAGGGACTTCCTTGCAAAACAGAGACATCTCAGCTGAAAACTAAGAGCCAAAGAAACAGGAAGAGTGTGGAGACCTCCTCCATTTTCATTTCAAAAAATGAGTCAAAGCAACTCAATAAAGAAACGATGAAAGACATTTCTCCTCGAGACACCCTTCAAGATTGAGTAAACTTTCCCCCCAAGGAGATAACCCTCTTGGCTCACAAGTGCCAAGAACCGACGTGACCTGACTGCCATCATTCTGTTCTCTGCCATGGTTCATGGTGGGACTGTAGACCCCGGGGCCGGTGGTCTCTGCTTGGGGAAAGCCTCCCACCCAGCCAGCCAGCCAGCCAGCCAGCCAGCTCCTTCCACAACTGCCTTCTGTGTGAAGGGCACTCCCTCCAGTTGGGAACAGCCAAATCTAAGACCTCCATGCTCACAGAGGAAACACGAGAGGGACAGCGTACCCGCATGCACGAACCCGAGTGGAGAGCTGACAGAATCAGGCGGCCAGCAAGAAATACTAGAGAGGACAGAAGAGGACACAGGTCCCCAGGCATGGGCCAGAGTTCTACTTCAGGGCTACTCTGGCCCCTGGAAAAAAATCTGGGCATGAAGGCCTGGTGGCTTGTGGAACCAGGGTCAGCGGCTCCCCTGACTTCCCTGTTGGAAGACTAGCCCACTCTCCACTCAGCCGACAGTCCAGGACCAGCAAATTACGTTCTCATTTCCAGATCACTTCCTGTCCCTCCATGAAGGGCTGCCACTCACCCTACTGCTCCCAGAGGACACTGCTAGGTGACTACTAGCTGTGTCAGATGGCGGAGGCTGACTCCGCTCTGGACGGTGCGGGGAGGAGAGACACCCAATTAAATTAAAATATCAGATAAACAACAGATAACTTTTAGAGGAAGTCTGTCCCAGGCAATATCTGTTCAACTAAAATTCAAAATTGACTAGACATCCTGTACCTACTTAGTTTTTCTCTAGCTGAAAACTTACACTAAATAATTAGTATGACTTATATTTAGTGTGATATATTTAGTATATAAATATGTATTAGTATTTAAGTATATAGTACATGGTTAGTAAATATATATATATATATATATATATATATATATATATTTGGTGCATATTTAGTACTTATTTCTAGCTGAATACTTACACTAAGTAATTAGTATATGTTACATTTAGTGTGATATATTTAGTGTCTATATATTAGTATATAAATATACAGTACATGGTTGTAACTATATATTTGGTGTATATTTAGTACTTATTTCTAGCTGAATACTTCCACTACCTGGTACAACCTATATTCAGTATAATATATATTAACATATAATATGTATCCGTATATAAATATATATAGTATATATTTAGCATAATATATATTTAGTATGTATTTATTTCTACCTAGATACCAATACTAAAAAACTGTGCCGTTTATATGAAATTCAAATGCAATTGGGCATCAGAGCTCTCTCTTCCTCTCTCAGTAAATCTGACAACGAGGGAGTTCTCTCTTCCAGGCCTGAGGCCCCCTGGCGAGCTGCTTAAGGCTGGCAGGTGCCCAAGAGCCCCGTCACCCATATATGCAGTTTCCCTAACACTTTCCAGCTTAGACATGCCAGGTAACCCAGCCCAGCTGCTCTTGGGGCATGAGAATCCCAGAGCTCATTTCTCTCATCCATTGTCTCGGGAAAAGTCCACAATTCCCTAGAAAGGAGGCTGCGTAGATGGGCTGGGGTGTGGGGGCGGGAAGAGGACAGGTGTCCCCCACCCATCTGCGGACGCCCGAGGCAGCAAAGCAGAACCCAGAGGGAGGGGATGGGAGGAAGCGGATGGGGGTGGGGGGCATGTGGACACACCCATGTTCCAGGTGCCGATGAAGATGGTGATCATGTCCGGCTCCGCCTGCTCCGAGTGCTTATTCTTCATCTGCTGGAGAAGCTGACAGAAGCCTTCTCTCTTCTAGGGATGGAAGGGCAGACAGACTCAGAAAGGCCTCCACCTCCCTGCACATTACACTTTCAAAGGGCTTGGTCAGCTTCAAGAAAACTGAGAGGGGCGCAAATCAGTACGAACTTGCAGGAGAGCAATCTGGAAATGTGGGTCCAAAGTCTTAAGGAAGTGGCTTCTGACTGCCATTCCTCTGCAAGGACCTGACTCTAAGAACCACCAGGAACCGTGCAAAGACCCAACTGTGTCACGGGGACCGTAGCGCGCACTTCAACACAGAAAAAATTACAAACGACCTCAGTGTCCAATCCTAGGAAGCAAATTAATAATCGTATTATGAGTCATCCACATGCCAGATAGAATACCGTAGGGTTTACAAGTTTTGGTGCAGAAATACTTTCTCAACAAGCATAGATGTCCAAACTATATTGTTAGGTGGGAAAAGTCAGTTGACAAAACAATATGAATAGCACTGTTGCATTTTTATAAAAACACAAACAAAAACCATCCAGAAAGACAGAGTCCAAAGTCTACTAGTAGCACAGGTGTGTTTTCATTTTAAATGTTTTGCTTATTTGTTATTTTTCCACCAACGAGAATAGATTATTTATTTGCTTGTTTTCCAGTTTATTTCTTTATTTAGGGAGACAGAGAGAGAATCAGCAGAAGGGGCAGAGAGAGGGGCACAGAGGATCCTGAGCAGGTTCTGTGCTGACAGCAGAAACAACAGACAGCAGAGCCCCAACGTGGGGCTCGAACTCACAAACCACAAGATCGTGAGTTGAGCCAAAGTCAGATGCTTAACCGACTGAGCCACCCAGGCACCCCAAGAATAGACTACGTATTTAATGAAGGAAAATTTAGATCAAGGAAGCTAACAAGAAAAGAACAGATGAAAGCGGTCAGCGTCTCCTTCATAGTCTTCACTGAGTTGTCCCGGGTACCTGGGTATACAGCAGGGGACAAAGCAGCGCAGCTCTCTCAGAGCGTGCCGTCAAGGGCAGGCTGAAAAAGCACACACACACATATTTCAGGTTGTACCATATGAAATTACCAATACGTGCCTGTTTCACACCTGCACAGATGGCAATTTCATTCGATTCACCCTAATAATTGCAAATCCCAGGTAATCACTTCTGAAGAAACCAGCTCACAGGACGTTGTGAGGACTGTCATTATGGAAACCTGTCTTTAGTTACGTACGAATGGCTCCAAATTTGGTGCCTCAGTTTACTGCTGTGTCTCAACCCTGAGCTTGCAGCAACGGGCAGAATTGGTTTTGGGATCGATGTCCCCGTACGCAGAATGACGTCCAGCCATGTGTTCTTTCTCTCCACCTCCCCCCGCCCCTTCGCTGTCATGCCTCTGAGTTCTTCCCACCCTCTCAGCCAGCTCTGGGCACCTTCAGGCCTCCCACTGGCCTCCCACCAGCCCACCCCTGCCACTTCATCCACGGGGCACGTGAAAGAAGCCAGGTCCTGGCACTTGGTAAGCTAAGCTGGGAGCCCTTGTCCCTCAGTCTTCCCGTGGTGCTAACACACAGTCAGCCAACAATCTGATGTGATTAGAGCGCTTTGCGCCCTGCCTCACGTGAGCCATATATTAACGGGTGAACAGTAAGGCCAACGTGGAGGGTTTCAGTCCCTGGGTGCCATGTCGTAGCAGAGGGATCAGACCATAGGGAAGCCGGACTCTGGCTACACAGAGGCCCCCCGCAACGCCCAAAGACCCTGAGGATTTCCATCAGCCGGCACCACCTCCTGTTCCAGGAGCCAGTCCTGGTGGGACGTCTTACTCCTGCAAGAGTGGGGCAAAATGCAGACACGGAAGGAGTGCTGGCTGGTATTTGGAGCTAAATCTGAGGTGCCCCAGAGGGCTTCTGAGTCCAGCCCAGAGAAGAGAAAAGGTCTCCCAGTGGGGCTCAGGGTGGGATAAGGCACAAGTGATCAAGGACGCGCCCCCTCAGGGGCAAGCTGTTCAAATCCCAGCAGACCTGGGACGTGTCCCAATCTCCCGGGACTGGTTTTCCCAGGTGGGAAGGGGGCTGTGAGAACCAAGTGAGCTAATGGTGCAAATTTCCAGGCACAAGCAAGCCTCAAAAGACACATGTCCCTCACTCCCCTCCTGACCCATCTAAGTAGTTTGTCATCACTCACTTTGGAATCAGCAAAAACATATTCCTTCCGCAAGGTCTTCTCCTTCTCAGTTTCCACCAAAATCACCAACTTGTTCAGAAACTTCTGAGACTTGATGAGCTGCAGGACTTAAGAGAAATGAAAGTTATTCACTCATCCACTTATCACACTACAATATGTAGAGTCTACGCTATATTCTGCCACCCGATCAACAACAATCCTGACTTCCCATCCCCAGGTGAGCACCAAATTTATGCCTAATCTCCTAGATCCCTTTGCTCCTGGCTGTTCTTCTGGACAAGGGCTCATGCTTGAGAAGGGGGGTGGTTTGTACAAGCAAGAGGCAGCCTGGCCAGAGCAGAGACAGTATGAAGTGTCACCTTTTCATGTTCCTCCTTTGCTTTCTCTCCTCCTCCCTACCTCCGTTCCTTCCTTCTTTTGCTTTGCTTTTAGCGTCTAAATTAAAATTGTTCACTTCTATCAACAACCAAGACTCAAATTGTTCTACAAGATTTTTTACAAACATTAGTATCCCCCCCACCCCACCTCCCTCCAATGTCCTCCTACCGACAGGCAGCCACGTTCAACTCCCTTAATGGATTCTTTGGGAACTTTACTGTCTCTAAATAACATGCTTATATTACGTCTTGGTGTTTCAGTTTTAGATATTTCCTATTGCATATCGACTTCCCACTACAGAAGATGAAGGTTTAGATCTCTTTCAACCTGTCTCCCTTCTCACACTCCTCTCCCTCTACTAATGCGTAATTACAGTCCCCTCCTCATCTTCCAGTAATTTTGGCCAAGTAAGTACTCAGTGTATTATTAGGACTATGGAAGGGCAATTGACAGATACACCTCCACTGCTTTCCTTTTCCTACACAACTTTGTTTTTCCTGGAGTTAATAATTGCCATGTTTTTTTTTTCCATTGGTCCTAACCCTCCTAGTATGTAACTCTCTTTTTCCTGTAATTAAACACTTTCAGCAGGTTTGCCATCCTGGGAAAGCCTCTCCCAGAGCCTCTGGGCCCTCTCTTCTCTGGGCTGCGGACCTCTAAGCCTCATGCATAACCATTACCTTAGAACTTCCCTCTCCATCATTCAGGAATTCACTCACTTGTCTCTCTTGTACTGGATCCCATTTCTCAGCTATCATGTCTTCCTCTTTCTTGCTTTATGCCCAAGTTTTGGTAGAGCAACATCTCTAAAAGTTTTCCAAGAAAAGGGAATGGGTAATAACTTTTGGAGGCCTGGCATGCCTGAAAACCCTACCTTCACACTTCAGAATAATTTTCCTCAGGACTCTCCCTTTGGAGAACTTGCTCTATCATGTCTAGTTTTGGGCACTGCTGCTGAGAAACTCCAAGTCATTTGGATATACCCATCTGCAGAAGAGTTAACCTGGGAAGCCTGACCACCATCCTTGGAAAGATGCTTGCAAGGTGGTTGTTGAAGGGCATCTGGGAACATGGATTTGGGAAGGGTCCCAGCATCTCCTGACTGATAAGAGCAGCTCACTATCCCCAAACTGTTTCTAAAACAGTATGGTTTACGCTGAACATCCGCTTTCCTCCTGAAGTCTAGAATTTGGGTATATGCCAGGCAGAGAGGGTGCCTATGTGACCACTCGCCAGTAAAAATCCTGGGTGCTGACTTTCTTTTTTTTTTTTTTCCAACGTTTTTATTTATTTTTGGGACAGAGAGAGACAGAGCATGAACAGGGGAGGGGCAGAGAGAGAGGGAGACACAGAATCGGAAACAGGCTCCAGGCTCTGAGCCATCAGCCCAGAGCCCGACGCGGGGCTCGAACTCACGGACCGTGAGATCGTGACCTGGCTGAAGTCGGACGCTTAACCGACTGCGCCACCCAGGCGCCCCTCGGGTGCTGACTTTCTAATGAGCTTCTCTGGTAGACGACATTTCACATGTATAGTCACAACTCACTGGGGGAGTAATTAAGCATGCCCTTTGTGACTTGTATTGGGAGAGGACTCCTGGAAGCCTGTGCTCGGTTTCCCCATGGAATTCTTCCCATGTGCCCTTTCCTTTTGCTGATTTTGCTTTGAATCCTTTCACTGTAATAAAGCATAGCTGTATGACTTTATGCTGAGTCCTGGAAGTTCTCCTAGTGAGACACTGAACCCAGAGATAGACTTGGGGGGAGCCCTGCCACAGTCTGTAATCTATCTTTTACCTTGAAGATTTTAGGATCTTTTCTTTGACACGAATGTTGTTAAGAATTTCCAATGCTGTGTGCGCCTTAAGGTGGAACAAATTTCCTCTGCTATGCTGGGCACTTTGTGGGCCATTTTCAATTTGGAAACTGGTGTTCAGCTCTGAGAATTTTTCTCATTGTTTCCATTTTCTCTTCCTGACTTATTTTGGTGTTGGACATCTTGGACTGGTCTAATTTTAAAAAAGCTCTTCTCTTCTATTTTCCCCTCACTTTGTTCTTTTGTTCTACTTCTGGGAGCCTTCCTCAACTTTATCATTTTACCCTTCCATTCTGTTTTTATTTTTAAAACTTTCTGCTGTAATGTTTTCATTTCCGCTTCCTTATCGTCTTCCCCTCTCTTCCTTCCTCCTTCTACTTTGTTCTCTGGACGTTCCTTTTAAAATAGCACTCTGTTCTTGTTTCATGGTCCAATTTCTTTCAAACTTCATAATTTGCTCCCTCCAAGTTTTTGGTCTTTTTGCTTATTTTTGCCTTGAGTCTCACTGCCCATCCCAGGCTTCCCTTCAATGTCTGGTGATTCTTGGCTGTGTCTTCCAACAGTGACAGAGTCACACTGGGCTTCTGTACTGGGTGGTCTCATGGGCTGACTCATGGGGAAACCTCTTGATTTTTGCCCCTGGGCTGGTCATGTGCTCCAGAGAAGAATCTTTCAACCTCCTGCCCACAGCCTGTGGACCTGGCTGGCAGCATCCGGGCCAGGCAGGGATGAAGGCTGTGGGATCAACATTCAGAAGTAACTGCTATTTAGTCCTGTGTTTCCAGTGGGTTCCTCGGCCTTTACCAGGCCTGGTGTCCCCCCAGCCTTTGCCTTCTCTGGAGAATTAACATCCAGTCTTCTAATGAGTGAGGGGACCTAGAGGGGAGGCTGTGAGGAATGGAGAAAGATCTGGTGGGTCTAACTCTTTTAAAAGAGATTTTCTTCCAATCCTGATGTTTATAATCTCACCTTCACCCCCACTTCTAGGGGCCCCTCACAGTATCAATTCCTGTACCCTTTGTGGGTTCTGTGGTATGAGTCAGGTGTCTCAGTTTTTCCTACTACATGCTTAAAATTGAGTTTTGGTTCCTATAAGTTGGTTATCATTATCCATCTGTTTTTCAGCACTTAGAATTTTGTTGCCATCATTTTCTCACCTGGTCTCTTTGTCCCTATTGAGTTTTGCTTTTAGGAGGGAACTGACAAATGTGTATGTTCAGCGGCCATCTTGACGGAAATCCCACCCAAGGGAAATCGTGGATGTCCCGTATGCTCAGAAATCCCATCAGCCTTGTCGGCACCGTAAATACCCCATGGTGTGACTCCCACCACTTCCAAGTGGGATCCCCTCAGACTCTTCTAATCCGCTGCTATGAGCCCATGTCTCCTTCCTTCCAAACTCCTGGCTTTCCTTGACATCCATATGCAGGATTGTGTGGCTGCTTCCAAGATGGGACATCTTGCTCGATCAGGATTAGTACTCTACCAGGCCTGGTATGTGGCCCACTTGTCCCCACACCTAGTTAAATAAAACCAGAAGCTCTTTGTGGTTCTCTTCTTTGCCCCTCTACATCCACCCATGAGCAGGTGTGAGCAGTTCTACCTTCAAAACATTCCCAACGTCCATCTTTCAACATGTCAAGCCACCACCATGGCAACTGTCTGGCGACTGTCAAGGCCTCCTAATTGGTCTGTCTCCCTGTCTCCCACAATCTACTTTTAGCACAGCAGCCAGAGTTCATCTTCAGTGGGATCACACTACTCCCTTGCTTCCAATCTCCTAACAGTGGCTCACTGCCCTTAGAACATACCCCGGCTCACCAAGCCCAGGATAGGGGCCCAATCTCCGCACCGCGTGTGCTCTAGCCACTCCAGCCTTCGCACACGCCAAGCTTGCTCCCATCTTGGAAACTCAGCTCAAGGGCCGCTGTCCATGGTGTCTGCATGGCCAGCATCTTCTTGACACTCAGGCGGCAGCTCAAATGGCACCCCTCCATCATTGTCCTATCATCCTGCTTACATTCCCAGCCTAGAGCTTATCACTCCCTGACGCCTTACTGGTTTATATATTTGTGTACTTGGTTATTTTCTCCTCGACCCTTACTTGCACGGAACCTCCCTAAGAACGAGGACCCCACCCCACCCCCACCCCGGCTTATTCACCTTTGCATCCCCAGCACCTGACACATAATACACCTAGTAACTGCTCAGTGAGTGAATACATTATGGTTTCCTCATACAGCAAACTGGCTTTTCTTACGCACAGAAGAGCTCAATGCCAAAGCTACCCATGAACATGGTGACTGGAGCAGAGCAAGGAAGCTCCAACACCTGCAGCCGAAGATTTCCTTCAAATGATCAGCACTTTACAGAACCATGATTGGAAACTGTGCCAGGACCGGCTGAAGACACGCCTTATCCCACCAGCGCTCACAATGACCCTACAGGAATTCGTTTCATGGCCATGGACATGGAGTGTGAGTGGTAAAGCCACTATTCAAGGTCAAACCACTACCAAGCTGTGGAGCAAGGATGCAGACACAGTATGTGAATCCAGTCTACCCAGAGCTCCTCGCTGCTGAAGCACCCCGCCTCCGGTGCCAGTTATAGACAAGTCCCTAAACACGCGCGGCCCCATGGACTGTGTTACCGCAATGGTCTTGAACTCATTTGTTCATTCACTCACTCAGGGATTCACTCAGTATGTATTTATCAATCACTTACTCTGTGGAAGTGTGGCTGTAAACTCTGGGGATTTAGCAGTAAACAAAAAAGCCCCACTTCCTGGCCTCTGTGGAGACCACATGTTTCTGGTGGGCGGGCGTGGGGGGTGGGAATTTATGAGCAACATTGCAAGCGCCTCAGTCAATTGGCAATCCCTGACTATGCACCTGCTGGGTACCTGGTCCTGTGCAGGATTTCAGAGGGTGTAAGATAGGGACTTGGCCCACTTAGGGGAGGGAACTTGTGAACAAGTAATTGTGTCCTGATGTGACAGATGCCATAACAGAGGGTGAGCTGGGCTCCACGGACTGAGAGGACAGGGACCAGGTAGGTGCGGCCCGCAGGCAGTCTGGGCCAGCAGGCTCTGGGCATCCATGCTTCTCCTTCAAAGGCTCATTAACCTCCACTGTAACAGTGCATTCTCGACACGAGCTGGGTTTTCCCAGGGCCGCTCTTCTCTAGCTTGGCTCTTTCACCCATCCCTGATCTGACGGCAACTCTCACACCGCCCATAATCCCACAAAGGGGTATATTCACCCCTCTAGGAGGTCAACCCATCCATCAGTGCTCTCCGTTCCACAGAACGTCTCCAACTTTTACTCTGGCATTCAGGGCCCTGTCCACATCTGGGACCCCATGCCCCACGGCTCCTCCCCTTGGGGCCACAAGTAACATGAGATTTCCCTAACACCCTGCTCCGACATATGCCACTCAGTCCTAGTGCCCTCTCCCACCTTATGCTTGGTGAACTCCTATTAATCCTTCAAAGCCCTAGACAGAGCCATCTGTAGTATGAAGCCTCCCTATATATCCCACAACAGAGCTAATCAATTGTCCTTCCAGGCTAACCTTGCATCTGACACACATTCTAATACGTGCTCACAAGTCAACTTTCCTTCTAAACTGCTACATCTTTGAGGGAGGACTACACTCGGGACTGGTCCATGGAAGATACTCCAAGGAAAAACGTCCACTGAATTAAACTGACAAGGGTGAACGGTGCTTCCCAGAACCCTCGAGGCCAGAAATTCGAGATCTTTACTTCAAACCCTCCTACGCCCCATGTCTCTGGCCCTGCCTCAACACTGTGACCCCCACTGTGCATGAGCATGACAGCCCGTGTCTGTGTCTGTGTCACGACACCCCCGTGTCTAGGGACTTTCTTTTCCTGGTCTTTCCTCACTGCTGTATCCTGCCCTCTCCATTTCTGCCTTACCTTGGAAGGATGATTAGAACAGCCACGGTGTTTTCATGAGCACCTACTACTTACTAAAGTTGACCTCTTTAAGGCTTGTGGCAGCCCCACAGGATGTGTATCCTTATGACAAGAGCACACGGAGAGAGGCACTAGACCGAGGTCACGAGTGGCCAAGCTGGGATTCCAGGCTGGGCTTCTACCGTCTCCCCTGTGCCATCTACACTCTTCCCCTCCCCGCACCCCACTTCCTGCATGGGGCTGGTCCCCAGACTCCCACCCCACCTGCTGCCCTGAGAGCATCCCTTGGACCTTGGTGCCACAGCCCAGATAGGAGCAAGAGGTTGCAGGCCGGAGTAGGCCCACGTGGGGTTGACCTCTCTCCCCTGGCCTCTGCCTGGGCACTTTGCCATGGGGCCGGTGCTGCTGCTGGGCACAAAGGAGGTGCTCTCAAATGCCTCAGCTCATCTACTCCGCATGACAAACCTAGGAGAAATCCATTATTGTTATTACTATTACTATTATTCCCATTTCACAGATGAGGAAAATGAGGCACAGAGGCCATAAGTAACCAGGCCAACATGACATCACTAGCAAGTGGCAGGGCCTTGATCTACCCGCACTCCTCTCTGTCCCCTTGTGCCCAGCACAGTGTGGCACCAAGCCAGCACTGAATATAGAATCTCCCTTCCTGCCAGTCTGCAGGCCCAGCTATAGGGGACTCTGGGGGATGTTGCCGTAGGGCTTGGCTGTCGAGCCAAATATCTGCCATCTGAAGAGACAGCTCAGGTGAGTGTTCTTGATGGGGTAAGGCTGCTCTTGATGGGTAAGTCTAGAGATCCATGTGAAACATGCCATGAGATGCTGCCTCTGCCATCTCTGTTGATGCTTACTCAGGCCCAGAGCAGTTGGGCGATGCGTCCAGGGTCACACAGCTGCTGAGTGGCAGAGCTGGGATATGAATTTAGGCAGTTTAGTTCCAGAACCCACATGCTTGAGCACATGCTAAACTGGGTCTCAGTCTACGCTACGCTTAAAGATGCTGACTGGTCCGGCAACCCTTCCACGTGCAGGGCTCTGTACGGGGACCGTGCCGTGGCCTTTTGCAACAGCCTGGTTCCTAATGGGGAAGTGCACATTCACAAAGAAGTGCCCCCCGGCCCCCGCCCGGCGCCGAGCATGTAAGTTCACTTCCCCAGGCTTCGGTGGAAGGCAGTGGAACAGACGGAGGGCCTCGTGAAGGAGGCACATGTGAGGTGGGCCTCGGAGCTGGGCGGGGGACCCACAGGCAGGGTGAGGGGTGGTGAGCATCCTGGCACAGGGGTGGGCGTGCCTGGTGGGACTTCCTCTCTGGCGGTCCGCTACTGACCGGCCAGGCGTAACGGCACCTGCAGAAGGGGAGCGTCACGGGTGTGGGAGGGGGTCTTACTCTTATTGTGGCCGTAGAACTTGTCCTCAGAACCGTCCTTGGACTTCTTAATTATCAGTTTCCCAGACTCCACGTCGACTTTGAGCTGCAGCTTCTGAGGAATCCCCAGGGATTCTGACTTTACCTGCAAGGAGAGGGGAGACGTGGGTCACCCTCTCTCTCTCCAGACTCTCCTGGAGCCTGTGAGCCCTTCGTCCGTGGGGCTGCACAGCCCTTGGCCGCTCCAGCCCTGGTGTCCCGTCGGTGCCATTGGGCTCCTACCTCCCAGCGTCCCTCGCCCCACAGCCCCAGTCCATGTTTCTGCGGGCAGCCCCCGAGAACCTGGTGAGCGTCGTGTGCACATCAGCTGCTCTGCCAACAGGTTTGGCAGAGGGAACAGGTGAACTACCGGAAACTGATTCATTTCACTGCTTAATTTGACAACACTCATTAATCTGATGTGTCATCTATTCCCAGAAAGGATGTTCATAACAGATTTAAGCTCCCGGGCCTTGTTACAACCAACAATTTAACATTTACTGATAACAATTAGGAAAAAGACAATTGCCTAGGCATGCTCAGAAGCTGGAGATGGAAATACAGAATTATCATCAGGGCCAGAAAGGGCCTTTGGGGCCCATCTCGTCCTGTGTTTTGGAATGTGGGACCAGGGCTGGGCTGGCGGCACCAGAATACGTGTGGATCGTTAAGAAAAACAAATTTCTGTATCTGAGCTCGGAGGTTCTACGTAAGTCACGCTCGGGGAAATCATGGAAATTGTATGTTTTCCTGCTCTTCTCTTGAGGCACTACTTTGCTGCTAGTTTTGGGGGCCCCTTTTTGATGTCACTTACTGCCACGAGTTGGAAGATACAGTTTAAAAGCATCTTGGGCTGAGGAGCTCTCCCCTGGGGAGCCTTCCCCGAAGGGGGTTCGCACACCTGTCTGGGTACCAGCTCCACACGTGGCCCTGCCAACCAGCACTCTCAGCGTCGGGCTCCTTGCCTTCATACCGCTGAGCCAAAAGGCTGTCCTTCCACAGGGACCAGAACGGCCCCCGGCTTCCTGGAATACAAGGGCACAGCCACTCACCTCAAAGGTGACCGGAGGGATGAGGGAACGTCGATGGGGAGACTCGGTGCCTTCATGCAGCAAGGCCTTGACCTGTGGGCATGAATGCACAAGGCTCTTCAGGTTGGGGGGCACAGGGAAAGCAGCGTCTTTGGGGACAGAGTGAAAGGGAGCACGAGCATGCACACTGGGGCATTCTCTAAGCGAAGAGAGGACCAAAGAGAAGCCCAGAGAAGCCGCATCCCGGGATGTCCTAATACCTTGTCTTCAATGGAGGACAGGAGGCTCGTCAGTTGGCTGAGCTTGGCCACCATGTTGACTGGATTGGCCTCACCAGGCGCCTGAAGAAAAGAGCAAGCAGGGACACCAGTCACAGAGTGTCACCATCCAGAGGCACTCCGCTGGGCCCTTTCCACGCTCTCTCTCATTTTGCTCTCCCCGCCGACAACCCCCGAAGTGCTATCACCCCCCTTCGCAGACAAGAACATCAGCTATGCAGCATCATCTCAACATTATCGTAGCCAAAGAATAAACCTTCATCTGCTTCTCCAATTTCCTGTCACCTCAGCCACTCAAGTTACTCAAAAAACATTCTGGGACTGGCCTTGATTGTTACCTTTGTTCCCCCTACATCTACAGCATTGGTGTTCCTCCTCTACTTCCAAAATATAGCCATCTCACTGCTTAAAACCCACCACTGGGAGAAAATTATTTGAACTCCTTACCCTGCCCTCTGAGGCTCTGTATGGTGACCCTTCACCCCGAGCCGCTCTCCTCCTCACCTGTGACCTGCGCGTGTCCTTGAGCTACACTCCCCGAGGAATTCCCAGAGATGTGGGGGGGTCACCTGGGAGGACCACCTCCTCACTCAGGTCTCAGATCCACAAAGGGGTGTTCGTGGACCACACTAGCTAAAGATGACCATCTCTCTCAAATCACTCTGCTTTGTTCCCTATCAATCACCTAGGTCATTCATCTGTTCCTTGTGTTTTCCCTGCTAGAACGGGAGCTCTCTGAGAACTGGGGCCATGAGCATGGCATGCAGGACTAGCACCTGGCCATAGAGGATGCTCCATGAAGTTGGTCAACACGTACAGGAGGCCCAGAGAGCCGAAGTTCCTTGTCTGAAGTCACACAGCCAGTGAATGGCAGAGCGGGACTTGAATCCATGACCGTCTTGAGACCAAATCCACGGTCTCGAGCGTTTATTCCCAGAACCGACATTTACAAAGCATCTACTCTGAGCCAGATGTGCAGTCACACATGTGGAATTTATGATACCATCCCTGCCTTCCAGAAGCTGGAGGAGAAAATCAGACATGTGTATGGAGTGGAACGAGGGTTATCGCCAACCAGGTGAAATCCCTTTACCTCACCCCTCGCTTAGGAAGTCAGCCGCCCTACACTTTTGTTTGACATCCAATTCCACCCCCCCCCCACTTTAGTGTACTACCTGTCCCATCACCTCGGCTACCACCCCCACCATGGCCATCACAACTGCCCCCAACCACCCTCATCACCCCCCCCCCCCAACCCTCAGGACTTTGTCAACACCTCAAACACATCCTATTTGTCAACATTTCTCTTTTGGCTTTGCCCTGCTCCTTAACAAAGCTCAAGGTCAAGCCTCAGGTGGGGGGGGGGGGTGGAGGGGCCTCAGGTGGGGGTGGTGCAGACCAGCTGATCAGCAGAGGGACAATTCAGGATCCCTTTGTTCCGGGTTGTTTTTCTCATAAAAAAATTTAAAAGATAACAGATTTGACCTCCTTCTCTCCTTGGACACTTGGAATGACCCGCTGGCTTCCCGGGGCAGTCACCTTGTGGATTTAGGCTGCTGTCTTCTTCCCCTCTCCTGTCTCTTATGAGGCAGGCTTGGCAGAAACTTACCGAGTGTAAACAAAGCTATTGACAAACTGGGGGTTGGTTCTCAGGACCGAAGGGATTAGCATGATGCCTGCACTTGTGGGTCCCAGCCCACAGAACATACGGGAGAATCTGAGGAGTTCTGCTGTTGCCAAGCACATTTTAAAACGCATCCATTCATCTAATCCTAGCATGAATCGATTCTTCTAACCCTTGTTTTGCGGACGGGAAATTGAGTCACAGTTGGTGAGTCAACTTGTCCGAGGTCACACAGCCAGTATAGACCTGAGACTTTCAAGTAGATCTAGCCCGGTGTTTCTCAGCTGGTGGTGATCTTGCCCCCCAAGGGACATTTGAAATGTCTGGAGACATGTTGGGTTGTCACAACTGGGGGATGCTAATGGCATCTGGTCAGTAGAAACAAGAAGGCGTTAACATCCTACAATACACAGGACAGTCCCCCACAACCAAGAATCATCTGGCCCCAAATGTCACGAACGTCAAGGCTGAGGACATAATTCACAGCTTAGCCTAGAAGTGAGCGAATTGGTCTGAGTGACACCTGCGGGTTCCCATAACTGGCCCAGTTATTTTACTTTGCTTTTTAGTTGCCCTTTTAAAGGGAGGATGTGGGTTCCAGGGTTAACGACTCTCCCTTCTCACCCCGGGCAAAGCTAGGTCTCTCCGAACCCTGAAGTCCGCAGTCATTTTGGTAACGTTGCACCTCCCATCAGTTCTCAACTAAATTCCACACAGGGGTCCAGGTGTCCCCAGCAGGTCCCGCCTACCCCAGGAGAAGGGCCTAGTGTCATGTGATCTCGCACAAACATTTCACTTACTCCTTCAAAAACCCTGCGGTATCAGACACGCTAGACCCATTGCACAGATAAGGAAACGAAGGGCCACCAGGGGCCCGTCAGATGTTGAGCTCATCTGTTTCTGAGTGTTCTTTCCTCTACTGCTGGCAGCCTTGGAACTTCCTCCTCCATTTGTGAACTTCTGAAGGCAAGAACCACCTCTCTGCATTTCTTAGTGGGTCAGGGTCTCATATGGGAGAGTGGGAAGGAGAACCCCCTCTCTCCAACCTCATCTGAGGTTTCTCTCCATCCTGTCCCAGCTCTGTCCTGCAGCACCCCAGCTTGACTGTTGTCACCTTAACTTCCTGGGGGCCTCTACCTCTTTTGGTCCATTTCAAAAATGTGGGCATGGTCTTCGGTTCGAACTACGTAAATGTGAGGGTCTGGCAGGGCCCCTGTTTTGCCTGGATTTGCTTTTACTTTCCCAGAAATTAACGTATCATCCTTCACTTCGAGGAAAGCAAAATCACCTTTTTAAATTTCTGGTGAATTCTTAAGCTGTATAAATAGCACATATACATTTTCTCAGTAAAAAAAACCTCTTAGCAAACACTCTTAGCAAACAGTATGGTCAAACCCAAAGTCCCCCTTGGCCTATCCCATTCTCCCTCGGTCCATCCCCCCTGGGGGTGACTAGAATAGCCCTTTGGGTATAAATCCTTCTGGTCTGATTTCCACATATAGATGTACCTCGGAGTTTATAGATTCTTTTGCCATTTGCTTTTTTTCCCCTAAGACAGCTGCCTACATATAGAACCGGGTGCTTTAAGGATGTGTGCAATTAACATGGTCGTTGCAGATAAACAATGTTTCAGAAACCCCGTTTCTACTCCCAACTGCACAGCAATGAACCGCAGAGTCCCTGACCCCAAAAGCCCGGCCAAGCCCTGACTTCACCAATCAACTTTTTGCTCATCTGATAGGCAAGGTTATGAATGTCATTTGCCAGTTACTAATGAGGTAAGGCTAAACAAGTTTTTGTATATATATTGGTCACTCCCACCCCTCTTTAGTAAGAAAGCCTTTTTTTATAACCTCTCCCCATTTTAAAAATAGGGTTGTTTTTACTTAATTATTTGTAAGAAGTTTTTCTTTCTTTCTTTCTTTCTTTCTTTTTTTTTTTTTTTT